AGAGTCGTTTGCAATGCTGAGGGGGCATATCCACATGCCTTCAAACTGTTGTGTGCACAGATATATTGCAATAATATGGAGGACAGCATTGCGCATACACACACCTGCAATTCAGCAAGCCAAGACACGTGTACACGAAAGGCTGAACAGCAGCAATTGACAAGTCAGTGCCTCTACCTCGGACATTATACTGCTGCAGCAGCACAAGAATTCGAGTTCAAAGGCTGTGCAGAGGCAGAGATACTGCGGCCTTGAAGGCGATCGAGGAAGAAAAGAAAAGAAGTCACCATCGCAAGAGCTTGGCACTGGTCGTATGTGAGGTTGTGAGAGAAGCAGTGACCCGTGTGGCAGAGGCTTGGGGACGTTCAGCGCGTCAGGGAGCTCATCGCTGTGACTTCAATGAGCACTTCATCATGGCAACCTTGGCTGTAGGAAACAGGTGGTTGGTCCGTCTCTCTCTTTCGATGAAACTGTGTCTGACACACACAAAGCTCGAGAAAGAACACCTTTGGTGTCCCCATACCTCCAATTTCTTCATCCTCTCTCCCACCCTACTGCATTTGGCCGGAGATTCTATGTCTCAGATTTGGACTACGCTGCTACTCGTTGACGGGTTGGCAAAGCAACTTCGGGCTGCATTGACAGCTTGCCTGCCGCCATATTCGACTACGGTGGTTTTTTGCCCGGCTCTATGATCGTTTTGCTGCCGCCCATGGCCAAGGTTAGGCCTCTAGATGGACATGAAGAAGGTTGACCTCATGCAGTGAATTCAGAGAGGAAGGCAGATGCCAACCCGCTCCTCTTCATGAAGATTAGCACGGTGCAGAGGGCTTACAAAAACCGTGGCGGTTGTGGACGAACGTTAGGAAAAACAATGACAAACGAAAGTGAGCTCTCTCCGGACTGCAAAATGAAGCAGCTCATCTACCAGGAGACGGATCAATTGCCCTTTTCTTTTTTTTCCAAAGGTGGCACGATGGACCACAGATAGATATCAAATTGACAAGAACACATACTGCACAATCTATTTTTAGCCAAACGGCAGAGAAAGGTATTCAATTGTCGATTCCGATTACTCACCTTCAAGCTCTTGAACAGGTCTTTCAACACAGTCGTTCTTCAATTGGCTAAAGGAAGACAACCCGAACAAGATGATGGATCATTACAGACGGCTAGCTGCGGCCTGTTGGTCGCCCGGCTACCATCATTTTATTAATTTGTCTTCCCGTTTACAACCAGCTTTACACACGTACGTATAAAAGGGAACCCACCTGCCGACGGAGGGCTAAACCAGCAACCACTGAAGTGGTCCACACTTTCAAGAGAAATATGCAATGTGCATAGAAACCCGAACGAGTGGTCACCTCTACGAGCAGTCCACCAACTCCAACTGGTAATCAATCAATGATAAGTTTCTCTCTCTCTCTCTCTCTCTCTCTCTCTCTCTCTCTCTCTCTCTCTCTCTCTCTCTCTCTCTCTCTTTGTCTGTGCATCTTTGTGTGTCTTTTCCCGCCTCTTACCCTCTCTTACCCGCCTTCCCCCTCCCGGATGATAAAAATGCAAACAAGGACAATCAGGTCGGCAAACATATGAGAGCTTCCTCCTCGAGCTACATTGAAGAATGCCAACCAACCATGTAGCTAAGACAAGACTACTCGCTCGACAGTGTGCTTCGACGCTCCACGACGGACCTCCAGAAAGGGAAGAATTAGGCAGCGTCGGGAGATGAGAATACAAACTATGCGCCTCCCTCCACTGCACAATGTTCTAAATGCACCTGGAGCTGGGACTCGTCCCCATACATTCACCATGTTCGATCAGGCTTGTATCTTGTCCCTTACACAGTACAGATACATGTCGAATGCTGGTAGTGGAGCGAGACCCTATATTTGACAAAGGGCTCGACCGTAGATATACATTTGCCTCTAGATAAAGAGGAACCAGATGCGACCCCCTCATTTAGGGCCTCGTCACACGACCCACCAACTGTGCAAAACGAGAATGAAGTTTCCGCTAGAACATGAAAAGATACACGCGCCATATTTTGTTTTTCACATTTGGTGTGTGGTGCGCCGATGCCCTTAGTCCCCCTTAAGAAGATTCGTTCTGTGGCGTAATCCATTTCGACAGCTCGTGGCAAACCCGTCCCCCTCCCTCCCCACTACCTGCCCCCTGACAAAACTTACCAGTCACATTACAACCCCTTATCATGACTACGGATGCCGCTAGATGTACCTGCCAATTACGGGATCTGCCAAGGGAAGTCTTGTGGGATGGGATGCCCCCTCCACGGAGAGCAAGGCCGTGCTGGATTACACGCTTTGCCAACACAATCTACCTAGGAAGGTCTCCTGGGACATCCTCCGGGACATCCGTTAAATTGGATCAATACAGAGAAGATCGGCATGGCTCCTGCGCAAGGACGACACGCATAAACCGAGAAATGGTCCAAAAAAATAATAATATATATATTTATTGTCACACTGTAAATCAGAGCGCAAACGCGAAATTCCCCCGTTTGCTGCTGGACTTTGCGCCGCGAAGTTGTGTGGTAGTGGATGGCGCCGCGTCGCAAGTGTTGACACGACTTGCGGAGGACTTGCGGTGTAAGGAGATTACCCGCGAGTGTCAGGCCTCTGATGAGCCGGTGAAATTCCGGCGAAACACTCATTGCTCTTGTTTGGTAGGGCGCCAATTCCCATATCTTTTCCTATTGTCTTTCCCCTTTGTTTAGGGGTATTTTGTTTTCTGGACCTACTGTATGGTTCCGTTTTTTTAACTATGGTTATGGTAGAATGTTTCTTTTGAATGAGAATCTTGTCTGCTTCGATTCCGGTTGATTCCGTCCCCTTATTTGGTCTATCTTAGGGAGGAGGGATGGCGGTGCTTCATGTGGGATTGGTTATCGGGTTATCGTTTTGCAGGCAAGTGTTTTGACATCCTGGTTGGCTTGGTTGTTTCCCGTTGTTTGGCCCTTTGAGCGCGGGCCAGTGCTGTATGTGGGAATCGCCATCCGGGATTGTCTTCTCCTTCTTYTTGGTTGTCACATTGTGGATTGGAGCCTTTTTTAATTTTGCTGATTTTGTCTGTACCTCGGTTGGTTTGGTCCCGTTGTTCGGGCTATCTTATGGGCGTGGCTGTGCTTTCATGTGGGACCAGCCATTCGGGTTTTTGGCATCCTGGTTGGTTGTTTCCCGTTGTTCGGCCCTTTGAGAGGCGGGGCGGTGCCTGTATGTGGGAATCGTCATCCGGGATTGTCTTCTTTTTTTCTTGGTTGTCACACTGTGGATCGTCGCTTTTTTATGTCTTGTCCTGGGTGGTCTTGTCCCGTTGTTTGGCCTTTGACGGAGCG